AGTAGTTAATTAAAGTATAAACTTGCTTCATAATGGCCTACACATTTCGCCTCATCTGTATGTAATAATAATAATAATAATAATAATAATAATAATAATAATAATAATAATAATAATATATTTCACCTATTTTGGGACAATTAATTTAATAGTTGGGGCTACAAAGGTCTATTAAACATTATATATTGGTCATGAAGATCGGTTGAAAAAGGAACATTAATTTGTGTTTGAGGAAGATGATGAACACCAGACTAAAGGCCTCTGTAAGGTTATGATGTTATGACGAGTGAGTAGAGGTTGTGAATAAGGATGAGGTTTGTGGATAAGTGATAAAGAAGGATACTGTCAACAAGGAAGTATAGTATAGTATAGCAGGTTCACTATTGTCGAATGTAAACAAACACAGGGCTGCCACACTGCACAAAACCTGACGAGCCCCTGTAAACGCAGTAGTGAAGGGGACTGTACCGGTTTCATAAAGAATAATACATGTGTATGTAACTTAGTGAATGTGAATTTAATGGTGATTTAAGAGTTCAGGATGATTGAGTTTGGAAGTGAGATGAATGTTAAGAATGTAGATTTGTTGAGGGTACTGGAAGAAGTATTATGACATTATTTCAAGAGAGGAAGTAAAAAAAAAATACGAATGTTTATAAAATCCGTAGCGTCAGTTTCCGATACATTTCTCTGTTGTGGAAGAATATGATAAACAACAGCTAATGCACTTGCCCTGTTGGAAGAGTCTCACCCACCTGTCACAAATTTTACTCCAGAATTTCCCCGCGACGTTACGTGGTTATTAAGTATGGACGTCGTATCTAGATCTGACGATATTTCTTTCACTTAACTCTTCATCTATTTCTGAAATTAGTTGATTATGATAATATTTTTCTCCTTCGTATCTTTGACACCTTCGATGCTTCTACAGACGGTCCACATTAACGCTGTATGTAGATGGAAACGAAAAATTATTGTTTTTTTTTATATAATTCTAACATTTATGAGAAAAGACGCACTGCAATGAGATTAAATCAAACTAGATACTTGAAAATGAGATCTCAAGATTAAATCATTCCGAACAAAAGTCTAAGAGGAAAATCTTGGAAATAATGAAAAATGCTGCAAGTCACGTGACACCCTGTATTAGGTTACGAGGTGAAGTTAATATCGATAGAAAGAGGACGATTATTAGGTGGAAAAGGCAGATAAATATTCAAGGATTCTATGATAAATCCTATGAAAAGAATATTTGTAAAGGTAAAAGAAAAAGAACAATATTGGTCTTACGAAAACCTTCCTTCTCCGGTCCAGTCTCTTATAAATAATTCTAGTATTCTCTTTCTGTCTTGGTGAATTTCGTCTCACATTTCCTAAGACTTTATATATTTCTCAACGAACAAATACACCAATACCTATACATAAACAATACAACAAACACAACCAGATGACAAATGATTATGTATATTTCTCCATCATCGTCTCAATATTCTTCAGTATATGAGATGACCATGAGATGTGTTTCCAAGGGACCCGCTATTGTCGTGCTGAAGAAGAGGAGTGTTTGGCCCTGGACACCGTAATGGTCAAGAAGATGTAGTTTTATGGGGTAATAAGTAGAGAAAGAGCAATGTGTCCATGAGATGATGCCAAATACACTCTGGCCTGAGAGATAAGTTTTCTGTGTAGTATGATATTTTCTGTGTGTGTGTGTGTGTGTGTGTGTGTGTGTGTGTGTGTGTGTGTGTGCGTGTGCGTGTGTGTGCGTGTGTGTGTGTGTGTGTGTGTATGTGTGTGTTTTGCTAATACTCTTCTCTTTAAAGTTCTATTAAGTTTGTTTACATGATTTTATTGTTTAGTTTCTAATTGAATTTTCATTTATCATACATTTATTGATACCGTCGATATAAATATACAGTATAGCAATGACAACAGCAGTTCTTGATAATTCGAGCTTGGAGTCTTTATAATTACATGTTAAACCTCTATTAGGACGTGTCGCTCAACTGTCAACAATGGGGGGAATACGAATCTAAAACTTTTTATTATGATTAAACGCAATATACTGAACATAATGTAAATCAATTTATATAATATTCCCCAAAAATGTGGATATTTAGATTAGAATTGGTCGGGATTTTTGGGACGCTGCAACATTATTTTATGTTGAAATTCTTTTTTTGTTTTTTTTTTTAGTTAAAGGAGCTTAGTGGGCATGTTAATTTTTGGAGGGAGATTTGATAATTAATTTTAGCGTTGTAGTCTGGTAGTAGTGAAAACTGAAGGTTGTATAAATGGTAAATAAGGTACCGTATTTGTGATGAATTTGGAGGAAAATATAACACAATAAAACATAAAGATACAATTAAATTCATTAGATACAGTTTATGTTACTCATCTTGTTTCCAGCCACATTAGATATATTGTAGAATGTTCAAGGAAAATGGATCAGTATTTTATTATTGTTCACGTCTCGTTTTGTTCCATTAAAGAGGTGGATTAAACTAGTGAGATAATATAACAGAAGTAGAAGGAGAAAGAGATTAGAAGAGAGAAAAGAACCAAGAGAAGATAGACAAATATAGAGAGAGAAAGATGAAGAAACAGACACACAGAGAGAGACAGACAAACCAGAAGAAAATCTCAGATAGGGAGAGAGAGAGAGAGAGCACAGCTGTTAACCCCACACCAGTAATCACCACCAGCAACGAGCCTTCAGGAATATAACAAGAATCACTATTTATACACAGTCATGACCCGAGAAAGACCTTAACTCTTATAGAATTTACTCTAAGAATCAAACCTGGTCAAAAGCACTTCAAAAATACGAGTTTATGTATCGTCAGAAGTTTGTTTATGTCTCGCCTTTAAGACATTCAATCTTGTACGTCTCAAGTTTGGTTTTCAATTGGTCCGTATCGTTGTTGTATTTTCTTATGTTGCAACGAGTAAAATATTTAATCTGCATTAAATTCCCAATATTGCATAGTATTGTGGGTGTATTTTATGGTATGTGTTTGTTTTTTTATCATATAATTATATAAATTTAATTTATATGACAACTTTGTATATAAACTTATGGCTATTGTTTGTGTTTATCATTGTTGTTTTTTTACATCGTATGACAAAAGTATTTTACCTCGGTTAAAAATAACTTGCAACGTATTGTACCTTACCTGTAACATGATTGACATATTGTACCCGGACTGTAACATGACTGACGAGGTCAATTCTCTCTGGTTTGATAAAGGGAGATAACAGATTTAGTCCTTGGATGGTTGCAGGAGTGGTGAGGTTGATATTGCTCCTCCTTCCATCCCTCAATAAAAATGGTGAAATAAAATGAATGTCCGCACACAGCTCACCGTAGTAAGGATCTCCAACGACTCAGCAATACTAGGTCAGGTAGAGGTTAGGTCTTATTGAAGATTGGTTCACAAGGAAGAGGAGGAGGAGGGGGGGAAAGGGGGAGGAGATAGGTACAAAGAGAGGAGGAGTAGAGAGTGAGAGGAGTCATGTGGGTTGAAGGAGGAGGAGGAGGAGGAAGGAGAAGACGAGAAGGAGTAGGAGGAGGAGAAGGAAGAGGAAAAACTCCAAGTAACCTCAGAGGAAGAGATCAAGATGTAAATTTACCTCTGATCAAAGGTGGTTCAAGTTGCTTAATGAGTTACTGAAGCAAATGATACCTGATATTAAGTTTGTCAAGAGTGGAGTCACGTTTGACCTGGTTTGAAGAGGGTGTTGGCGGGAGTGGGGAAGACAGGTAAGGTAGTGTGTGTGTGTGTAGCATTTTCTTGCTCTTACAGTTCACCTGATGATCTAAATATACCTACCTGGGTCTTGAGTTGATAAGGTGGTTTATTATTTTTCATATTTTAGATTCATTATTTTTTTTTGCCAAATTAATGTATTTTTATGTAATTAAGAGTATTTAGAATTTTCCTTCGTTTGTATTTTATTATTATTATTATTATTATTATTATTATTATTATTATTATTATTATTATTATTATTATTATTATTATTATTATTATTATTATTATTATTATTATTATTATTATTATTATTATTATTATTATTATTATTATACAAGTTAGTACATTTCACTGTACTTTAAAATGTCAACACACCGTCCACCATTAGTGCCTTAGAGCATCTGGGAGACCACTTACCTTCTTGTTCATATCCCATCATGGCCTGAGTCTGTGGAACACTGTCACAGAGGCTTTTTCTTCTTCTATATCACATAACCTCTAACAACTTCACGTGTCAAGTGTTTTCAATCAATAACAAGGAGGCCTTCCTACGAATAGATTTAATACTAGCACTTGAGTGGTGTGTCTCCCAGCGCAATTAAATGAAAATATTAGATTCCTTATTCGTATTGGTCGCTGCGTAACCTCTGTGAACCCTGCAGCTGTGTGTCGTGCAGCTGTGTGTCCTGCAGCTGTGTGTCCTGCAGCTGTGTGTGTTTACCCAAGTTTTCTCTGTTTACATGTTAAATATTAATGATACTCCTCCTTTGTTACTCTTCTGTACTGAGGAGATCTTACTTGTGTGTTCAGCTCAAAGGCTTCTCACTATTGTTGCCTTGTAGTGTGAAGTTTTGCATGTGGGAGTGTATGTACGTGTGTGAGTGTTTATTCTAATGTGAGTTGATTACTTTTACTTATTAATATTTTCCTAGACGTAAAAACACCGGAGATAAAGAGATATATATACTACCTGCCTTATACTAAGCGCCCAGGGAAGCAAACCCGATACACAATCAGGGTCTTTTATTGACAGCCCTTCAATGGAGTTCTGTCTTCCCCCCAATGAAACCAATAATACACCCATTTATGATAATTATATCCTCAATACATTCACATATTTCAAAAAACCCCGAAGACGCATTTCTCTTCCGTGGAGGTAATTCAATTATTGGAAAGGCAATCATTTGCATATTTTTCTTGGTTTATCAGATCTTCCGAAATGTCAGGAGGAAACAGATGCGGAAATCGACTTAAGGGGTTTTTAATGTCAGATATATTATACACAGTTCACAGTCTCAGAGGTCTAGTCTACATTCACAGGTTCTTCGTACAAGTATATTTTTTTTTTGTCTGTATAAAAGTATCACTGACCATGGAAACCTTAGCAGTAATAAGGAGTGATTGAATGTATTTACAATAGATCCATCCAGGTAATTAATACAATTAAAAAAAAATACAAGTTAACACAATGGCCTGTTACTTAATAGTGTTGTGTTAAGTGGCTGTTGTGTAATGATCTCTTGGTGTAAATTAAAGTACAATAATATAGACATTTAAATCATTTCTGTATAATTGTATCAGTATAGAACGTAAGTCTAGTGTGTAATATAACCATATAGTATTAAATTAAGGATAATATATATATGTGGATTGGAGTTATATTCTATATACATTACATACATGACCACTGATCCCCCACATATATACCATTACTGTAAACAAAACACATAGTGTACTGAAATGTAGAGTAACCACATATATACAAACAACAGATTACTCTCAGTGTCGTTAATCGCTTAGTGAAACCCAATAGTGTATTGATATATAAAAGACTATTATATACATGGTCCAAATCACCTAATTTTCTCAATTAAATATTGAGGATTGATAAGGTGTCACAAGAGTATAAAATGCCTTCCTACATAAAAAGGCTAATTCACGACATTACTGATTTATACAAAGTCGCCAAAAACCATCTCAGGTTCAAGACCAGACTTCATTATGCGGACACTAAGGTAGACAGTGGCTAGGAGAACTCACCCAAATTAACAGGAGCCAAAGGAAATACCTTTGAATGAGACAACACAGGTAATCAAACACCGGTAATTAGTACTCAACAGGTAATTAAACACCGGTAATTAGTACTCATGATGTTAAAATTACGATATTCCGATCATGAGGTAAATATCTCTCTCTAGAATAGATCCAGGTAATTAAAAGCAACTCATATGCACACCTGATGTTGGCCTGAAGCAAGAAGCAGGTGGTCTAGGACTTAATTAACCAAATAATCAAGATTAAGCTATCAGCCAGACATTGTTAGATAGGAGTTTCGAACATACAGTCAACAACTCTGTGGATAGAAGTTAAATTATAGCAACAGAAACTACTGACTGGGAGAATGTCTTGCTGATATTAGACATTCAATCATGCCTATGGGACCCACATTCACCTTTTCACTGTAGCCGAGTGTAAAATGATGGTTTTGTTTTTGCTAGAAAATACAGTTTTTTTTGTTCTTTATTAAAATGAATGAAACAAAATATAGTTAAAAAGACCAAAGACTTCAAAGGAATGAATATATGTCCAATTATCTATTCATTCTATTAATTTTTCATTAGTTTTTTATTTTGTTTTTTTCATTATCATTCACCTTTCACGTCACCTTTCAACATTTACAGGTAAATTGTGTTATATATATTTTTTCCAATTCCATATCATTCAAGACCTTTTTTTTCTCTCTCTTAGTATCTCCTGTTATAAAGTTGATGAACACGTTATAGTGAACAAGGAAGGAGAACATTTTATTTTTGGATTTAACCTTAAATTTGGATTTCTATAATTTCTTCTTTTTTTTCTCTCTCTTTTTTTTGAGGGGGGGGGGGAGGTGGGGTAGTAGGAGGAGGAGTGGTCAAGTGCTGAACAAATATACAAAATTTTACCAAATTTATGGATAAAGTATTTTGTGTTTATTTTTCTTAATGAACTAAAGGTCACAGATCACTATACAAAATTTACAGTAAATATCCTCGATGGATTGTAACTTACTTCTTCTTTATAATGAATTTTTGTGTGTTTAAGTGAAATATCTCCACCTACCTCTCTACTACTGAACGTCACTTTTATGATGATCTTATTCAGCACAGAGAGACGTCCCTACACATGCTGTATGTCATAACACCAAACTACAGAATCAAGCGTTTAGTCAATGTCATTTGTACTCTGATTTAATTTGGTAATGTCTTTTCTAGAGGTCAAAGGTTAAGAGTCAGTATTGAATCAAATGGTGTAACATTACGTGAAAAATACATGATATTAGAAAATTTACGTATCTTCAATTTACAGATATATCTTGATATTTTCCTTGGCGTTCTTATAGCATCTGTTCATATGATTAAATGGGATTAAATACCAGTGATCACTCTGATAAACGTGTATCCGAGGGACCTATTGTAGAACTGTCATACGCAAAAGTTATTAAAAAACAAGTAGTTTCTCAGAGTTAGTATTTTTCTGCATGATCGTTCTATTTTTTCGTCTAATTCTCATAAGTTTGGGATATGTAAACAAAACAATGAGATCGTGATAGATTTTTTCCACCATAACGAAGATTTTAATAAGACTTCCCACCATAAGAATCTTCAGAAGGTGCGTAACATCATTAAGGGTTCAGTCGACTTATCATCGTAATAAAGACTTTATAACGAGACATTATGATAACGATTTATAAAAAGACTAAAATCCTAACGAAAGCTTTAATAAATAACTTAATCACCGTAAAAACCAAAATAAAAAAGATTTAAAGAAGATTTCATATATAACAAAATCAATATTACTTATAATGAAGCCTTAAAAAACGACTGAACATCACAGCTAAACCTCCCAGGACAGATTTAAGATTCGTAGGTTGTATTTCCTAGTAAAAATAAAAAACTTTCTCACCTCAGGACTTTTCTCTCTTTGCCGTACGCGTGGCCGTCACCTCAAGATGATCACTTCCTGCACCGGCGTGGCGTCTGTCCCTGGCAGTTACCCCCACCTCTTGGAAACCTCCTTTGATGTGTGAGTCTGGTTTAGCTACGAAAACGGAGCCGAATTTTTCATATATATATTTTTTCTTCTTTTTACTTGGATATATATTTCTCAAACGTGTATATGGAGTAAAATATGACCGCTGGGAGACATGTCTTAGTCTCTCCCCCCCAAAAAAATCTGTTTAGTTGGGGTGAGATATATTTTTTAGATGGATTTTATATATTTCTTATCATCTGATGTTTCGGTGTGTGGGAATTGTTGTTTTGATATGCGATGTCTCCTGCTTGATCCAATTAATATCTGTTTTATCTTCGCTTTGAAGTTATAAGTAAACATCAGGTGATTATCTTTTGAAGTAGGACATAAAAATGCGATAAATGTTAGTTTTGCTTTCAATTATTCCCTAAAGACCTGGTAACTGCATTGCTTTGGGTTAATTCGATGTATTTTAGAACAGATTAAAAAAAACTGTCTAATAACAAGTTTCTTATCATTATTCATCGAACAGATAATTATCGACAATTAAGTGACATAAATTGAATTAATCCTGAAGTAATCACACAACATGCTGGCTGTTTCCTGAAATAAAAGCAGAAGCAGTTAATTCATTTAGTATTCTATAGGAGTGTACACAGCGGGTGCGTCCTGTGGTTGGCAGTGGGTGGTGGTAGGGGCCAGTGTTGTCACCTTCACTTAACTAATGCAAATAATGAATCATCTCATGGACTTGCATCACTAAAGGAGGTCAGTAGGAGTCGCTGTTATTGTCTTGCTCAAACACTAAATATCCAACAGCAAAGATTGACAAAAAAAAAATCCATAATTTTTTTTTTTTTTCCGGGACAAGAATTTTAACTCTTTCGTAACATTTAGAGTACCACCATAACAAACACAACATAAGAGTTACGCTGAAACCATACTGCATGTAAATCATCTTCAGCAAAGTGTGTTTTTTTTGTAAATCAGTTTATGATAACTTCATCAGTCGCCTCAGTATGAACACAAGACTGCTCCTTCTCGCACACATACACACACAACATGATAACTCTACAACACTAGTTCAAAACAATTATGTCTGAAAGACGGTATAGAAAATATCCCTCTCTCTCTCGCTGTCTTCCTTCCTGATCCAAAAAAGTGACACGCCTAGACAAAATATTTTTCCATATACACTAACGTTACAAACTCTCTCACCTGAAACAAAAACAAAAATAAATGTGTCTCAGGCACAAAATGTCAAAAGCTTTCCCCAAAACCCCAGTTAAAAAAAGAGCGGTGTGAGATGGGCCTGCGTTAGACTGAGCTCTCCCTTTTTGAGGTAACAGAGGATAAACTGGCACTTCGGTTCCTCGGGTTGTCCCTTATTCTGAGCACATCTTGTCCCTGCGGCTTGACACCCCTCTTGAGCGAGCCAGTGGTAAGTCCTCTCTCACTCATCCCCGCCGTTGACCCACACTTCTGGGCGTAACTCGGACTAGACGCAAACATCGCCAGAGGATTGTACAACGTTGACATTTTAGGATCGTCCATTCTAGTGTCCTGCCCAGCGTCTTTGTTTATTGGCAGAGTAGCGAACGAGGATGACGAGGTGACTTTACTATGAGGCAGTGTAGCGAAGGAGGACGAACCCGTGACTTTGGTGACCGCGCTGGTCGGGTCTTTACTCGGGAAGTGATAGTCCTGAGTCATCGCTGCCGAAGATATGTACTGCAAGCTCGGATGGCCTCCCTTGATGGCTACAGCAGGGTAAGCAGCAGCAGGGAGATGGTGGCTACCCGGAAGAACAGGCTGGTATTCCCGAAAGGCTTGCTGGTAGCCTTGTTTTAACCTCTGGGGACCCTGTTCTTGCGTCTGGTAACGCTGATCCCGAGGCTGGCAACCCGAGTAAGAGGATTGGTAACCCTGGTCGTATGCTGCCGGGGGTGGGAGAGTAATTTCCAGCAGCTCGTTGTCGCCGTCGAATTTTTCCTCCAGAGGGTTGTAAGGTCCCCGTCGTAGGTTGGCAGCGTTGGCGGTCAGGACCTGAGGACCTACCACCTCCTGGGCTCGGTCTGGGCTATAGAGGCGACCTGCAGGATACAGCAGGTTGGACGTCTCTGTGGTCGAAACCTACACCAAAGAGATAACAATAACAAAATAAGAATCATGGACACGTGGCATTACACATATCATGGACACGTGGCATTACACATATAAGAACACATAACACATGAACACACACATAAACATGAATATCATAAATTAATAACTATTATAGTTCGAGCAACATAAAATAAACATGATTTAATAAACTAATAAAACACCGGAACACGTGAGACCGAGTTTTAACACACAAAAAAAAGATTTCAGCATAATAAATTCAGTTACACCAAAAAATATTGTGATTTACTTTATGGAAACATGTCATTCAGCGCGACAGAAACACCATTGAGGAGGGGACAGTACACGCACTCTCTACTAGACTTAACAAGAAAGAACTCGTGTCCATTGCAAGAGTGAAATTAAAGTCTAAATATTGTAAAACTTTAAATCTCAAGTGTATAAGAAAAACAAAATCGTGCTAAATTCTGTATGTTTGTGTGAAATAATGTTCAAGTCTTCATTAACAGGTATAATAACAGAGCTTTAATCTGGAAGACAATTCTCGGCGTTGATTACGGGTGGATAATGTTAATATCTCAGGTTAATGATGATTTGGAGAGATTATTACTTGAGAAATGTTTCACACGTCACACAATAACTGACACACACACACACACACACACACACACACACACACACACACACACACACACACACACACACACACACACTCTGATCAGGTTTCATAAGAGTATCTCATATTCTGAAAAAAGTCATCAACCTGTACTAAAAATATCTAGTTTTAGTAGTTTTATCTTATTACCTCACGATGACCTAAGTTCTGGTTATCACAAGAAACTTTCCCTTGACCTTTGACCTTTAGAAAGAGAATTAAAAATCACTTCATGCAATACGGAGATGGTTGTTCTTAGTTGAATTTTCTCCTAAGACAAAATCAATTAAATGCCCATGAGTTTTATAATTTCCTAATAACAGAATCTTGTGCTGGTTCATTTTATCTTTCTCAGCCCCAGAAGTGAGAAAACTATTCCTGGAGTTACTTAAAGCCTCTCTCTCTCTTTCCTTCTTTCTCTCTCTCTCTCTCTGAAGGTATTTTCATATCAGATCTTCCTCTCCACATCTGCTGTGAAATATTAACTAAATTCCAAAGGGGAAAGAGCTTCCATTATTTATCTTACGTGAAGGTATACAATTTTCTCATCATATTTTGAAGCAGCTTGTTAAAACATTTAGTGAGTTATTACTACTTCTTTATCTTGTTAGTATTGTTATTATTATTATTATTATTATTATTATTATTATTATTTATTATTATTATTATTATTATTATTATTATTATTATTATTATTATTATTATTGTTAGTACAAGTTATTATTATTATTATTATTATTATTATTATTATTATTATTATTATTATGATTATTATTATTATTATTATTATTTTTATTATTATTATTATTATTATTATTGTTAGTACAAGTTATTATTATTATTATTGTTGTTATTGTTATTATATAAGTCATTTTGAGTAATATAAGAGTGAGTAATACATTATTACACATAAATTGAAGAAGTTAGACGAATCTTTCTGAATTAAGAATAAAAAAAATGGTTTATATCAACTGACAATGACAAGTTGTGACCAGTCTAGTAACGTTAAGTCACTGTTATTCAATATGATTATCTTACCCAGGAAATCAATCTCGGTAAGTTGAGTCAAAATCCAATACTAAATAGACAACTAATAATGTTAGGAATCTTTTCATCAACACTCTTACGTTTCTCACGCATCTGGTGGAAGCTGGACTAACACATTCTCGTCACCTAGTTTAATCCTGCATAATTCAGACGAAAAATATATGAAAAATATCTAATTATTCTATAACCCACAAGACGATAAAGATCACCAAAGTTCAATAAATGTGTGAACTTATAATGCGACTGTAATGAAAAAGTTTTCTCATTGTAGGAACTGATCTTATTACCTGTGCTTGTAAACCTCGGGGCTGTCAGTGGAACAATTATTAAAAAAAAACCATCATATGAGAACTGATTATTATATTTTTAATACTGATTGTCATTCTGGATACTATGCAAAGAGTCCATTCATGTTAATTAACGATTTATACACCAATACAGATTATGAGAGTTGTATGAAATGAGTGTATGAATATTTCTATCATTAATACTTTAAGGGTTAATGGCTGTGTATCATTTGGTCAATGTTATGGTTAATTTAGGTATTTATATAGGTATGAAAAAATTGCTGTTATAATATTTTGGTTCTTATATTTATTCGTCACTGAAATAACTAGCGTCTTTACTTTAATACCTACTTAATGACCATAGTGATGCTTCATAACATCAAGTATTGCCCATGAAATTTCCTTTAAAATGGTGTTATTTACATCTTCACTACAGGAGATTTAACATTAATAATCATATCTATAAAATATTTAATCACTTTCACCTCCCATGGAAAATTAACATCACCTCACTGTTAAACCCGAGGAAAATATAACAGACTAAATACGTGTTATCTTTTTTGTTAGGAATAGAGAGCGTGAACACATAACTCAACCCGTTTTTATCTCTTTTACTTCCGCTTGCTTGCAATTGGTGCCTGAAAACATATCATTGGATATATCATGAACTGGTATATGCCAATAGTCTTAACAAAGGCATGGCAGCCACTTTCATCATCGTAGTTCCAGTTTAATGTATAAAAACGAGTAATAAATAAACACACACACACACACACACACACACACACACACACACCTGGAAGTAAGATATACCTGGTTAACCTGAGAATCTGATTAATTATTTACTTCTGTGACCTGAGCTTCTGTTTGGGGTCAAGGAAGTGTACCTGAGTGTCTGATTAAGGGTCAGTGATCGTTACCTGAGACTAGTGTGTGACCTCTGTATTTCCTTGGGGGTCAATGATCGTTACCTGAGAGTAGTAAGGTATTAATATTTACCTGTGTAACCTGAGTGTCTGATTGGCCAGAGGAGGGTGTTGGAGGCATGGTGGAGGAGGAGATGGCGACCCCTCCAGTGATAGTAGTGATGTCTGATCCACTCTCTGCTGAGCCTCCACCTCCTGATCCTGGAGTACCTGTAGGTGGAGATGTGGAACAATGAGAGGGTGAGAGAAGAGGTGATTAGGGGAGAAAGAGAGATGATGTAGAACGTGATTGCCGGAGAGAGAGAGAGAGAGAGAGAGAGAGAGAGAGAGAGAGAGAGAGAGAGAGAGAGAGCAGTCACTTACCTTGGCCCGTCAGCAATGGTCGACCTGTACTTCCAGCTTCCATTTCGGCTGCATACTTCTCGCTCTCCTCGGCAGTACGCCCACGTCTCGCCGCCCGCAGTCTCATGCACGTGCGCACACCCATCACCACCACAGCGATGGCTACAGGCAGGCAGGCCAACACGGCGCCCACTAGCACGCCCACAGCCACCTCTGCCCCGCTCTCACGCCCGCGCGTTGGCTCTGAGAGAGAAATGGACACAGTCATGCATTGTTTACTTAAGGATCTATCTATCTATCTATCTATCTATCTATCTATCTATCTATCTATCTATCTATCTCTCTATCTATCTATCTATCTGCTCGCCTCCTCACACCTCAACACCATTAGCACCTGAGGCGTCGACAGGTGCTAATGAAGGGTGTGAGAGATGAGAGAATGGACGTAGAGAAGAAGGGAGAGAGGATGAACAAGACACAGAAGCAGGAATAGAGAGAGAAGCAGGAATAGAGAGAGAAGCAGGAATAGAGAGAGAAACAGGAATAGAGAGAGAAGCAGGAATAGAGAGAGAAACAGGAATAGAGAGAGAAGCAGGAATAGAGAGAAACAGGAATAGAGAGAGAAGCAGGAATAGAGAGAGAAACAGGAATAGAGAGAGAAACAGCAAATATGAGAAATAAAATAAAAATGACAAGAAATAAGCACAGGTGAGGAACTACAGATAAATAACAAAAAGTGAGAAATATATATTGAGAAGATGAGAAGTGGGAGATAGAGAGAGAGGAGATAGAAACAGAGATAAAGGAAGGGATAAGAGGAGATGTTTCCATAATGACATCATTGGTTGTTTAGCGCAATGCATTCTGGGGGAAAATCCGGGGGACGAATCAACCATCTCTTGTTTATATGCTGTATTTATCTACCGTTAAGATACCAGAAGTTAACTGTTGTCTGTCTGTCTGTCTGTCTGTCTGTGTTTCAACGATAAAGCGAGCACCAAGCCTTTAAGTCTCTATCAGTTACCAGTTAATGATAAGAACACTTGGAATAGTTTGATCAGAGTCGATAGATCATAGGGGCCACGAATCATCCAAGTACTTTACAGTCGAATGTTGGTGTGTAATGGTGTTTTATGTGGTTATGTTGGTGTGTAATGGTGTTTTATGTGGTTATGTTGGTGTGTAAGGGTGTTTTATGTGGTAATGTTGGTGTGTAATGGTGTTTTATGTGGTTATGTGGTCTGTAATGGTGTTTTATGTGGTTATGTGGTCTGTAATGGTGTTTTATGTGGTTATGCTATTTAATGTGGTTTTGTGGTCTGTAATAGTGTTTTATGTGGTTATGTTGGTGTGTAATGGTGTTTTATGTGGTTATGTTGGTGTGTAATGGTGTTGCATGTGGTTATGATGGCGTGTAATGGTGTTGCATGTGGTTATGCTATTTTATGTGTTTTTGTGGTTTGTAATAGTGTTTCATGTGGTTATGCATGTGGCGTGTAATGGTGTTTTATGCGGTTATGTTGCGTGTAATGGTGTTGCATGTGGTTATGTTGTATGTTATTAAAGTCATGGTCCATTTGTGTGATTTGTGTAGCATGGAATGAACCACCGAACATTACTACAGTTAAATATGTAGCGCAACATAACACAAATACGGTATATACTGTTTTAAATGTGTGTGTGTGTGTGTGTGTGTGTGTGTGTGTGTGTGTGTGTGTGTGTGTGTGTGTGTGTGTGTGTGTGTGTGCGGCCTCAACCGACATGGTGTATACATCATTGCCAATTACAATACATATCAGGTAAACCAACTCAACATTCTTAGGTTAGGTTGGGTTAGGTTAGGTTAGGTTTTGTTAAGTTTTCGTCGATGAAAATATGAGCAAATCTGTTTTCCATGGACATTAATTCCTTTATCTGATTGTATTGACAGTTTCTGATTACTTGCAATGATTTTTTTTTATCTGAGTATCGGATATGTGTCTTCCACAGTCCCCAGCAGATACCGTTCAGAGATATGGTAAACCTTGAGAGTGGGATGGTATTGATGATATTTCTTGTGTTCTTACTTCTTTTTTTGTTCTCATATGTGGATTCATTGTATGAGTTTGGAGCTTCTTTACTCTTGGTGATGAAAAAAAACCATTTATCTCGTCCTATCAAAAAATTCGTGATTAATTCAACAGTATAAATGGCTCGATACAGGAGGTGTGAGATGGTAAGTGTGTGTTAGGAATGACGTCTTTAATTTCTTCAATAATATGGGTTAATTTCGTACCTGTATACCTGTTAATTAATCCTTCTTCCATTAGCTACCTTGATAAAATAAAACCATAAGATTACTGAGATTAGTTGTGGCGTTGGGTGTAAATTGATTCTTAGGTATTATAGTGTCCAGGTGTTATGTGTTAATAATCCCAGCCATGATTGTTAATTTCTCATATACCTGGTGTCATGACCTGGCCAACACGAACCACGGGTAGCAAAAGCCTGAGTGTCACAAGTCCAAGTGTCACATCAGTGTCATAAAACTCAGTGTCATATTTAGTGTCACAAGATTGAGTGTTATATGCCTCAGTGTCACAAACCTGAATGCCACTCAGTATCACAAGAATGAGTGTAACGACTTCAATGTTACAAGCTGAGTGTCACATCTACAGTGTCACAAACTTGAGTGTCACAACCAAAAGAGTTTTAACCTGACCATCGAGGCAAAACTCAGGTGTCACAATACCTGCTGGAGTCTCATGTTGAGGATGGTTGAGGGCGACGGTGTAGGCTCTTAGCTCAGCAGGACGTGACTCTCCTTTAGCGTTTGTGGCGGTGACGAGGAGACGGTAGGCTGTGGCCGGGCGGAGGTTGGCCACGGAGAAGGAGGCCGTCTCACGTGTTACCTGTGCCACGTCATCGAAGTCTCCGTTGGCCTCCAGAACCTGTAGAGATGAAACACAGATTGATTGTAATTAGGTCAGGTTAGGTGAAGATAAATTGGGCTAGGTAAGTTAGGTTAGATTAAGTTAGGATTTGGTTTAGTTGTTGGTTAGGTTAGAATAAGTTTGGTTAGATTTGGTTAGATTACAGTAAGTTAGAACGTTAGATTAGGTCGTCCAGTTTCCCTTACCACTAAACACCTAAACGAGAGGCTTAGCAAACACCATAACACCACACTATCTGACCAAAAACATTGAAAAAACAAAAATTCCTTGCTTACCAGTTATCACCAACAATAAAAACAAAAATGGGAAAAATTATCCTTTGTATTTGAATCCAAAACCTATTAACACCACCACAAGAGAATCAAGAGGCTGTAGGTGGTTTTAAATGAATCATTGTGTATTTTTCCTTTTTTTCTATTATCATGTAACACACATTCGTAAGCAACTTGAGGCTTGGCGTCAGTTACAACTCCTGCTCCCTTGTTCTTATGCATTAAACTTTTGCTTGCATCAGGTGACGCTTCGTACTTTGCTTAGATTGCATTGCACTCTTTGTCTCCATCGTCCAAAATTGCTTTCTGGAGACAGGCCACCACAGTGTGTCACCGATTTTCTCACTCTATACGATTTTTTTTCCTATTTTGGGAGACGAAGATAAATTTAGTGCTTGTGCTGGTGTATAAATTCACACAGCGTCCAATCTTAGCGTCGCGTCATATTGTGTAAATGCTGCATAACGCCGAGTCAGTATAAATGCGGTACTCCCTAGTATGAAGTATGGACACAAGTTAAATAGCCTAATAAATTTGGGGATGGCTGCACTTATATAAGCATCTGCCTTCCAATATTTCGCACAAAGTTCGCTTAACTCCGCTAGAATAATAATGGATGTGCAAAGACTCGAAATATGAGCTGACAAAGTTGCTTGCATGAGTAACGAGATAACGCCCTCAGACACACACACACACACACACACACCTGCAGCAGCATATAATATAAGCGACGATTCTGGACCTCACCACACTTACACACCTGCAGCCCTTTCCTGCTCCGCAACACATGTAGAACAATAATACAAGTACAACCTTTGTAACGAGACATCCTCAACCGCACATCTGTACCCCCTTCAGTGAGGTAGCATCTCCAGCACAAAGCACTAATGTAAACACGGCCTCTGTAACATACCTCCAACACCTGCGACTCTGAATATGCAAAGCTGGGTAAGGGAATGGACCCATACACGCACCACCGCAGACACTCACGCAACACCTATTCTGCACAACACCCGAACTACATCAGTCACAAATAAAACAAAACTCATTCCTGGAACTTGCATAGTGCACAACATCTGTAAATCAACACTATTAATACAAGATTTACTTTACGAAACTAACAACACAAAATTTGTATTTCTTTATTTGCCAAATGAAGAACTGTAAAGCAAGGAAATTACATAAAAATCCCTACTCGAGGAATCCTGTACTTGTTAGACTATTACAAGTGTAAATCCCCAGCGAACGTCCGCAACACAAGGCATTATTTCTCAAGCACTTACTGTAATATCATTGCAACATAATAATCGCATTACGACAGAGGTAAGAGATCTTGTAATATATATCTACAAAGCGACTACAATATTTATCTGTAAAACAACACTCCCAATACGATACTTCTTATGCCAAATATACAATAACGTTTAAACAATATATACAATACCTAACAATTTACACAACACCTACCAGCCATTTGTAACACCTCTGGAGCAACACCTTTTATATTAACAAACTTTACCTTCTCCTCCTACTCCCACCACTACCAGAAAATTAATGTCAAAGTAATTTTAGAATTCGTGTTATTTTGTTTTAGTAATGTACGTCTTTTGTGATGAGATTGTTATTGTGATGAAACTTTTACTGCAATGGTGTTATCATGATCAAAATCTCACTCCACCTGTGTTATCATGATCACAATCTCACTCCACCTGTGTTATCATGTTCACAATCTCACTCCACCTTTGTTATCATGATCACAATCTCACTCCACCTGTGTTATCATGTTCACAATCTCACTCCACCTTTGTTATCATGTTCACAATCTCACTCCACCTTTGTTATCATGTTCACAATCTCGCTCCACCTGTGTTATCATGATCACAATCTCACTCCACCTTTGTTATCATGTTCACAATCTCACTCCACCTTTGTTATCATGTTCACAATCTCACTCCACCTTTGTTATCATGTTCACAATCTCACTCCACCTTTGTTATCATGATCACAATCTCACTCCACCTTGTTATCATGTTCACAATCTCACTCCACCTTGTTATCATGTTCACAATCTCACTCCACTTTGTTATCATGTTCACAATCTCACTCCACCTTTGTTATCATGATCACAATCTCACTCCACCTGTGTTATCATGATCAAAATCTCACTCCACCTGTGTTATCATGATCACAATGTCACTTCATACTCTCATGGATGACGCTCCCTCTTTAGCCTCCAACCACTCATTCTTTTTTTCGACATTCTCTCTTCATCACTTCTTCCGTCTTACCATTCTCTCCTTTATGCTTCCTCTTCCCCACTTCCTCCCTCACTAATCATACATTTCCCTCCTCTTTTGTTCCCACTTCCAACTTCATCTTTCCCCCTCTTCATCTTGCCTCCATAACTCTTCCTCTTTCTTTCATATTTTTTCTTCTTTCCTTTCACATATTCAGTCTTTTCCATATTCCCTTTCATATCTGGGTTTCCCTTTCTCTCTTCGTTATCTCTTCTTCTTGGTAATTTCTTCCTATCCGTCTCTCTCCAGCCATCTTCATTTTCCTCTTCTCACATATTTTCCCTCATATCCCTTCTCTATTTTTCTCTCCCTCTTCTTCAAATCTCCCTCATCACTCCTCCCTCTCTGTGTCCCATCAATATCTATGTCTCATCTCCCTTCCTCTCTATCCAATCTCCCTTTATTCTTCCTGAGGGAGACGTTCTCAGTACCCCTCCCAGCTTTTCCTTCAGAGTCTCAACCTCCCTGGCCCAACTCACTCAACATCACTCAGACCCCGAAATAAATATCTCCAAACTTTTTTCAAATGTAAAAAGTTGTTTTGTTGTAAAAGATGTGTGTGTGTGTGTGTGTGTGTGTGTGTGTGTGTGTGTGTGTGTGTGTGTGTGTGTGTGTGTGTGTGTACGTGTACCTAGTGAGCAACTCGAGGTCACTACTATCAGAAACTCTTTTTAATTCTGTAAGATTCAGAAGCATACAAAACAGCAGTGTCCTTTCCATCATGTTCGGCTGGGATACACCGTCTTAACCTCCTCCTCAGCATTTAAGACAGATTAACTTTAATTCGTGATGTGATCGATAGTGTGTCTTTTTGCCTGAGATCAACAAGTTTTGTCAATAATTGCTTTGATGACCTAAAGTAATTCCGGGTAAGATTAAATCCAGGTTCAGGTCATGAGAAGAAAATAATTGAAGGAATGACAGAATTAGATCACAATCGGTACACTCTCCGCCGCCTAGTCGTCAGGGTAAGTGTAGGATGCAACCAGGGACCCGCCACCTTATTAACACCTAACTCAGCCTGATCTTTTACCTGACTCTAACCATCACTGAACCTTGTAACCTTTCTATTAGCTGTCTACTATAAAGTGACACTTGATATAACTAGATATTTATCCCATCTAAATATATCCCTATTTTTTACGGAGAAAATAAAGATAAATTGAGTAAGCAGCTGAATCAAAGGAATAGGAAGATAACTATGCCATTAATCTTATAGTAAATAATTAGTATCCGGGATAACATAGTATACTTCTTCTCGAGAACTTAAACTTACAAAAAAAATAATATTATTTATTTTTTGTTATCTATACCTGTACATACCCGTGAACCGCTATCATGACAGGGTAAATATCTGCTAGTGACGCTTTTACTGTAAATTGAAGTAGTCACAGCTAGAAACTGTCTGATATCATCGTTTTCTTTAATACCCGATAAGCCCAATACGTCATAATTACGCGATTTCTTACCATGGCGATACGTGGTTAATTTTGGCGAGGTTTTCTGTAGGAGTTTATAGTGTGAACCTTATTAATAGTTGATTAAGACAGAAAGACAGACAGACAAAGACGACCAAAAACAATACTATACCCCACAGCTCCAGGCAGGACAAAATTCGTTGCCTTCAATACACAAAATAGTTTACTTTATAAAATAGTCAGTAAAACAAAACAAAGTCAAACTAAAGAATTATACAGAGATGTGATTTTGTTAATGTTACGTGAATCGGTGTTGTTGTAACCATAAATCAATATAAACATGGCTTAAAAGGGTATATCAAACTACACTCAAAGGAGCCGTCAACTCACGCCGGGATCATGGTTATCAAAGTTGTTATCTTACCCTTTGATCTTTTCACCCTAATACCATAATAATTCTAGGGTTTAATATAGTACAGGTTTATACAGGATAATTACCATTGTATATTAAATTAAGAAAGTATAATAAAACGGTCAAGTGTTAAATTTACAAGATTGAAAACAAGAAACGGCAATAACTAAGTAAAGGTTAAGCAATGGCTATAAATTTAAAATATTTTACAAAAAAAAAACCCAGTCGACCAAAGACCAAAAAATTAATAAGTTCCAAATAAACAGACTAATATAGATGGATAATTTCTTACCACTTTTTATAGTGACTACTTCTACCATCATAAATCACTGAAATAACAAGAGTAAAAAAGGTGAACAAACACGACATATCACCTCTGGGCTAAAGTACTGTACATACAAAAGAGTCAGAGAGTCGAAACACAAACAAGTGATACAATGAACCATTTCTGAATAGTTCATTTTACAGTGAATGAATCTCTGTTATTACCTTCATAAATCAACTTGAATATTACATAACAACTTTTTTTTTTGAGGGGAGGGGATGGGGAGGAGGGTAATACTTAGCAGAAAAAATCACAAAACAACGTAAAACAGAAAACAAAATCACCGCAACAAAACGAAAAACCAACACAGTGATTCATTTTACCTTTTTACAATGACTAAATCCGCATTGTAGCTGACATAAATCAATGGGAAAATGACAATGAAAAAAAAAAAAGAAGTTAAATTATGAAGCACTGTCAGGGATCCAGAACACCAGCTGGCCTGCATATAAACCATGACAACGGTGATTACATGAATTATTAACGCTGTTTATCATCTTTAATTGTCGGGTTGGGAGTGTGTGACATGAGTTTGGTCACGGTCAAAAATTGGTGAATGTGCTACGCTGCGTTACTGGGTATATTAGCTGTGTTATTGTGTGTGTGTGTGTGTGTGTGTGTGTGTGTGTGTGTGTGTGTGTGTGTGTGTGTGTGTGTGTGTGTCACTTTGTTGTAGTGTTTGTCTGTTTATTTTATTTGTTATTCTTTTATTCTATCATTTATCTAGTGCTTTTACATTACGAAGAAATATATTTTTTGTGTTGCTTATTATTATTTTCCTTCCAGGTACTGTGTGTGTGTGTGTGTGTGTGTGTGTGTGTGTGTGTGTGTGTGTGTGTGTGTGTGTGTGTGTGTGTGTGTGATATTACAAATGAAGTTGTTGTTTTATCGTTAACAATTTTGCACCCAAGTGGAATATAGACTAAATGGAGCCTCTACACAAGTGCTGTTATATAAAGTGTGTTCGATTATTATTAAATGCTGCTATGATCCTTAGTGGGTAACAGCCGGTCACACAGGCTCAACACGAGGACGGGAACAAAGGTTTACTAATGTGAATAAATAGATTGATACTATCTTTATTAACTGTTAACTATACACACTAACTGCAGATTAATGCTAATATGACTAACAATAATGTAATAATACTCTAAACGATGAGGTAACACAAACTATTAGATCATGATAAATCCCTTAAAGTATGAATATTAATTTACTTGTTATAGAAAAGTGTGAATATTTTACACACTTGACGTCCTATATTTCGTGCATCAAGTGAGGTTTATGGTATTGGGGAAATGGTATTATATCAATGTGACGCAGTATTGTAGGTACTATATTAAAGAAGTCGGTCTTTATATCATTATAAATTCGAGTTAAATACACAGGGGGTGTAGAATGCAGGTCAAATGAGTTCCAGTCTTGAGAAGCTCCACTGTTTATAGGACCCTGACTAACCTAACCTAACCTCACTACAGGAATCGTGGGCCCAAAAGGAGTGGTACCCAATGGGACTGGTTTTGATACCCTAGACTGTGGGCCCTGTTGGTATTGCGGCCCGATTATAACAGTCACCAACACACCTAGTCATTAAAGAGGTAATACATGCTGAGTGTTTGTGTTGACACCTCCAGATAGTTACCCTTAGTAGGAAAGTTTGCCCGAGTCCTCCATCGTCGCCAGGTAAGCACGACACCTGCAGGGAACTGATGGTGACGTCGTAGGCCCGGCAGTTGTGGGGTGGGTCTGGTTTACCTGAAGAAGGAAGAGAAAAATATTTTGATTCATCTACAATTTAAACTTGACTGTACATCTGAGTCATTATGTGCATGTGTCTATGCAAATATATGTGTGTTGTATGTGCATTGAGTTATATACTTGTTTTTGCATATTTTTGTGATTATGTGTATTGCATGTGTCTATGTGTTATCCTGTATGTATTTGTATAGAGTTAATATTCACATAGATGACCAGTAACCATCACATCCCCTCAGTTGTGTTTGTAACCGGTAAACTATAAAACAGAATTTCCCTGATTTCTATTGGATATTTGGACAAAAAAAAAATCTTTACAGTGACTGCACATCTATTTATGTAGTTTTAGAAATACTTTTTTTTTCTCTCATTCGTTTACTCGTTTCGCAGTGATTTTTTTTCGAAAACTTTGTTACTTTATTTTATTTCATTTTTTGTTTGTATCTCGTATTTTGTTGTTGATTAATATGAATGTTATCCTGGGATTTGATAAAGTTGATTATGATTTATGGTATCACCTGAAGATTAGACACCCTAACGCTAGTCTAACCTGACCAAAACCTAATCTAACTTGATCTAACCTGATGTAACCTAACCTAATCTCACCTAAGCTAATCTACCCTAACCTAACCTAACCAAACCTCGCCATTAATCGTCAGATGAACTATGCTGAGGTCTTCCTGCTTATGTTTATGGCTTTAGACAAATAATTGACGTCTTTAGGGTAAGAACTTGACGTGTTTGAGAATAATAATATAGTGTATTTTCGATGTCTTCATATTATGGACATTAGTGAGTCATATTTCAGGTGTGTTACGTTCAATGTTCCTGTGTGGTAATATTTTCTCTCAAAACAAGAGGTATTTTTTTCACATAATACCTGCCTCTTCCTCTCTCTCTTCCTCTTTTCTCCCTCCTTCCCTCCCTTTCTTACTCTCTCCCTCTTTTTCCCTCCCTTCCTTACTCTTCTCCCCTCCCTTTTTCACCCTTTCCCCCTTTCCTCCCCCTCCCTCCATAGACCCGATCATCAGAGAGCCTCCCCTAACAACATAATCCTTCCTCATAATTCACGAGTCTATCAAACCTCTCCTTTATGTTCTCAATTACCAGCTGTTGTCCACCATCAGAGGGGAAGTTCTCGCTGGGTTTATTTTTAGTACAGAGGCGACAATACAGGTACACACATTAGATACAATTAATTAACTCAGGGTCAATGTATTGTTATGGACAGAATTACCTGGATAAATTGGGCTGTGTTTAGCATCTTAGTATGTGGTGGCCGAGTGGATACAACAGTCACTTTCTAACTTACTGGCTATTGGTTATTTCCCAAGGGACTCCCAATCCAACTACCTGTAAATGGGTACCTAACTTTACAGATGGGGAAGTGAAGGTGATCGAGTGTAATGTAATCCACGCTGCCTCCTTGAGTATCACTAGGGCTATAGGACCCCACATTCAGTATTTAATTGACGGTCACTATAATGGGACTATGGTTATGTGTAATTATTCTGATATATAACTTATGGTGCAAGACAGTGTTACCAGGACCATCACAAGTATGACCAACACGTGTAGACTTTATCAGGTGTTATTATTACGCCACGTTATTCTGACCCAAAGTAATGAATACGCTACTTTCAGTCATAAGCTTGACCCAGTAATTTACATCGGTACGTTACCTCTCCAGATTACACAACACCACCGGTGATCTCCAATGGTCAATACAGTTCTTATAAACAGTTAGTAGGATTAGCTCGTGTTCCCTAAGTGTTCTCAGGACATTTATCAGTTTCTACAATAAATAATTTTGGTGCTATTGAACTATTGCCTGCCATTAGTTGACGCACCTGACGAACTATAGGTACACATGTACACATACGAGTAAAAAAAGTACGTACATCCATGAACTGCACACGCCACACATTTCAATACAAACGAAATGCAATTCCTATGTAGTGAAATAGTCAGCTGTGTTCCAAGGCTTAAGTAGGTGAGGTGATTATCTCTAAACCCCATATATACTGTACTGTAGTTCACCTCGTAAATACAAGGTATATACTGTTCACCCCTCGACAGCCAGAGAGATATCCCGGTATAATCGTTGAGTTAGTTTTATATCATGGTGCCGGGACAACTACGACAATCACCATATACAAATATACTGTTTTTTTTACAACACTAACTTTTATACGTGATTTATTAAGTCAATTATGAAGAGTTATTTACATTCTGTGTGTATTTTTTTCTTTAGAGTTTTGCAATATATTTTTTCTTTATATTTCCTTTAATTTATATGATAATTTAGGGAAAATGGATAAACATCGGTGTATATTTTACAGGCCGGAGAGATTGATGGCTGGACGTAGGACGGGTGTAATGGACGCTTGATTATTGGTAGTGCTTATGGGGTAAATTTAAAACTGTGAGTGACAGACAGACAGACAGACAGAGTGGACATAAAGACACAGACAGACAGACATTGGAGAAACACAGACATATAAGTAAATAAACAGAATTTGACCCATTTAAAAAAATAAAAATACCTCCCGTCTTTCTCCAAGTACAAATTCGCTCTAAAATTACTACAGCTTTAAATGTTTAAACTGGAATGACTTTGATACCATCAGCAGCGCTCATGATTACCAGAAGCCTTTGAAGACCAGCTATATCTTTCCTGATAAAACTCCCACCTAAGTGATAAGAGGAACACGCACTCTCCTATCAGGTGTAAATTGTTGCTGTTATGCTGTAAGGAAGGAGAGACAAAGAGAGGGTGGGGCTTTATGGCTGAGGCGTCGTGAACAAGACCGTAATGATCAACTGGTTTTATTAAGTGCCTTGTAAAGTACGGTGTATTGTGGGTGTAGCACAACGTTGATGAAGCTCCACTACTGAGAGAGAGAGATTTCTTGAGACCATCATCCATTTATGGTCCTCTCTCTCTCTCTCTCTCTCTCTCTCTCGGCACTCACTAATATTGATCGATATATACCAAGATATTTTCCATCTCCAAAATATAACGTGATTACCATTACGATGTTTACTTTGCTGCTGTTGATCCTTTCAAGAAACTCTCTCTCTCTGACTCTCACTAACAAGCTCTCACGATTCCTTAATGATACAAACATTTAGCTTGCGGGTAGTTTACTGTCCATGTATTTCTTTTCTACACACCAATTAGCTTCACCAACCAGGTAGAACTTTTTTCTTACGTTAGATACATTTACCTGTTTGATGTCTGCATACTCACACCAGTAATGAAGCTCCACCTTTAAACATGTTACCGGCTTAAGAGATAAAGTTATATTCCTCTATGTTTCCCAGGGAGATAGTTATACATGGAGTGAATTGTACACTTATTACAACTGTACACTGAAATATATGTACACTTGTGGACAAAAAAGAATTCAGCAGAAAGTCTTAAGCTATATCTGTTTCATAATTAAAAATAATATTAATAATAATTTTGTCTGTAAAGGAAATTATTTACATTGGGGGTTTAAATTATTTATCCCTTCCCTAATGAGGCTTACAAAATGGGTTCAATTTCTTCATAATATTGCTCATAAGTCGTGTTTATGAGGCGTATTTAAGGTTAAAGTCTAATTTAAGCCCGGAGGAATATATTGTTTATTAGTAGCGTCCATATTGTATGTGTGAGACAGACAGACAGAGAGACACACGGGAAGAAAGACAGTGAGTGTGCAATTGTGGCAGTTTTCACAGCAAGAGAGAGAGAGAGAGAGAGAATGCATCAACTTGACATCCTTTGTCCATTTCTGGTTTTTCACTTCTCATTGTAATTCTTCTCATACTTTTAGCGAGAAGATTTTCCACCCATGATGTGCTGTTTCACTTTTCCCATTTCATCTCGCCACTCATCTACGTTTTTATTGTTGTTCTTTGGCTATAGCGTATCTGTTTTTTTTTTTATGCGAGGCAGTTGTTCGTGTTTCCCAATTACATCTTCTATTGGAATGTCAGTTCTTTTCAGTTGTGTTCATGGAAAGATGTCAGGACTCTTATTATTTATGCATTCGCTGTTTCTTTTATGTTGACGAGTCATAAACATTCAAATGATACTAATGGTTTTCCCGTTCTCTCTCGTTTACTATTATAGGGAATTATATATATTACCTTCTGTAAATTATATTAATTATACTATTTTATTTACTTTTCTTTGAGCTTCAACTACTTCCTCTTTCATATTAGAAATTTTGACATATTTCGTATTTTTCTTTCAATGATTTTATATATTTTTTATAATTCTGTTTCCATACAAGTTAATACTTCTTCCCAGCCCTCCATCATTCACCCATAGGTATACTGTATAATCTGTCTTTTTGAAGGATATCCTATACTTTTAGACCAAATTTAGGTATAAATATCAAATAATTTTACACGAAAATCCTAATGTGGTTTGGGAGATGGTGATAAAATTGCCATAATTAGAGGATATGAAAGAAATTTAATCGAATATAAGTCAAACTCTTTTATAATATATCCTTATGAGGTGAATTTTTAATATTTGTGTTTATTACAACTTGAGGTTAATGTTAATTTAGGTATTACTCGTATAACAAATATTACTATACATGTTAGCCTACCCTAATCGTTATGTGTGTGGTATTATCCCCATAGAAGTATTAAAACATAATCTTGTACGTTTTACCTGTTGTATTTTATGTTTCAACGAAAATGTTAATCAATTTATGAAATGAAAATCTTTACTGTGATACCTATAGATCTCTTTCCCATCATGTTCCAGAATATTCAAATTTCCGGTCTAGTTTACGGTTCCTGTATTTCTTTTCTGCTCACCTGTTCACTCACCTACTCACTCACTTGTACCCCGCAGAGTTTTAATTTCTATGCGATGCAATAACTGTTTGAAGTGAGCTTTTGCCGAGTGGAAATCTGCCCGAACAAACACAACGTATATATCATAGGTTCGACATGCCTGATATTACTGGGTTATATTCGTATGTTTAGTTTTT